ACAAATAACGATGCAACTCACCCCTTTATTTATGTCGATCACCCCCGATTCCAAACTTTTGTCCAGTGAGTGTACATAGAGATTTTCTCTACGAACATCAATAAGCTGGCGAAGTCCAAAAATGGAGCGATTCCCGAAACAACAAGCGATGACATCTATAACCGGAAATTTGTTTGTTAGCATATATACACGAGTGTGGGGAGGTGTCATAGCATATAAACAAATAAAAAACAAACCTTAATTGCTAGAAATTAGAAATTGTTTCGCGTGTATGAATTTTTTTATTTATCGTGGATAAGATTTGTTAAATGTTTTACCCCTTGATTTGTTAATTATTATCACAAATTGGGTGTGGTCGATATTGAACGTAGAGAATTTGTGTATATGGAGCCTGAAAAAAAATCAGCGATTATCTCAGTCCCAAATCTTCCGAAATCTCGATTCATATTCTCGTAGAAGCATCATAGCTTCGAGACTATGTGCTAATTGTTACTATGACCAAATTTCCGAAATAAAATCACAAATCGATTGCGTAACACAGATGTTCGATCAACATATATCACCTGGAAAAATTTCTGCCGAAAAGTAATGTGATATAAATATTGTGAAACCGAATACATTTCTCACATATACCCTCACTTTTTTCTTGTGTACCATTCCGCAGTCTACCAATAAAAATCCACATATAACTCAAAATGTCTATTACATTGGTTTGTTTGGTTAAAGGAAACTTGCCTGCGAATGCTTTCCCTGTCGATATTGATAGGAACCAGCTTGTTGGTTACCTCAAGGAGGCTATCAAAGCGAAGAAGCAGAATGATTTCGCTAGTGTTGACGCCAACAAACTCAAGCTGTGGAAAGTGGAAATTCCTGACGATCACGATTCCGAGTTGGCCAACCCCAAATTAGATGTCGAACTCCTCGCAACTCGAGACGTAGAAGATTTCTGGTACGCACCACCGAAGCGACATATTCATGTCATAGTCGAGCCACCGGTGCAAATCGCCAGTTCGAACCAAGAGCAGGAATTGCTTGACCAACTCGCCTTGTTGCGAGCACAGCTCAATAAGTCTGTTCGTGGTACGTATTTGTATAAATTTCTTGGCAAAAACCGTTCCCTCGGGGAACGATCAGACTATATTCTGAAAAAGATTTTTTACTAATCCAGTTGTTGTGTTGCAGAATTCGATGTTGTCGTAAGCCCGAAACGGACGAAGGGATTCAAGTGGACAGTGAATATTGAGCATGCGACCCTCGAAGGCCTCAAAAAATCCATATATGCAATATACCAAACACCAGCACTTGAAAATGATGGAGCAGTGTTCAACCTAGTAAGCGATAGCGGAAAATATTCACCTCGAAGTGACCAAGACCTTTGTGAAATCCTCCAGCAACTCGCGTCAAAAAACAGCTTCAAGTTTACCGTGTTCATTGAGACTCCCTCAAAAGCTTTCTCAGATTGGACTTTACCAAAGGTATGCCAGCTTTACGGACTCGCTGAAACGGACGATCCTTCATTATCAGTATTCCCACCTTTTACGTGTGAGTATAAAAATCTGAAAGACGAATCTTCCCAGGCAATACTTAAACATCTTATAGCTGAATTGAAGGTCCGTCTCAAAACCATTCCAATCAGTGGAAATGAAGCATCGAAATCGCAATATGTGTGTTCATACCTTGTTTCCGGCGCAATTCTATACGAAGGAAGATTTGAAGTTCGACCAGAAAAAAACATCACAGGACCCAATGGACATGGCCCAGTCGATTTCGCAATAGACTTGATCAAAACTGCAAAAACTGTTGACGTGACAGAAGTAAAGGGTGAAGATTTTTTAAAGGGTATTGCTCAGAATGCCGTCCAACTTGAATCAGCTTTGACGAACCGCAAGCGTAAGGCCAGCGAGATAGAGGAAGGTGTGTTTGTGGGTAAGACGTTTGGAATCGTCACAGATGCGGAAAAATGGTATTTTTTAGAATGTTCGTTCGATAATCTAGAAAGGCTGAAATTCAAACTATCAAAACCGGTTGTCGTTGTGTATGACAGTGGGAATATGGAGGGTATGGTTGAAAGGGTTCTAGGACATATTGCTTGGTTATTGGAGGAGGAACAGAAACCGGTGGAAGCATCACAAGGTGGAGAGCAACCGAGGGTATTAAAAAAGTCTAGGTCATCGAGTAATCTCACAGAAGAGACGGGTTAGATTATGTTCTGGCCAAACTTTCACTTTCGTAATATTCAGCTTATTTGTGGTCACGTGACGTTGTGATATCATATCACCATCTATGCAGAAAATTTTAACCGCGCAAATATTTCAGCATGAAGTGTCAATCACAGATGTATTGCGAAGCAATGGGGCTCTGCCCCTTAATATCTGCATATTATTTCGACGTACAGCAATAAAAAAACATTACTACTTATTATTTGTTATTTATTTCATGTTAATAATTGAGTGTAGGCTCAAAGAGCCATGATTCGGAGAATCGCCTAATGGCCTGCTTTGCAATAAATACTATCGTTGACTATGATTTATGCATGTGTCATAGAGCCCCAAGTGAGCAACCCCCATGTGATCGTGGAAAATAATTTATCGTCTACGAAGTAGGATACTCTGTATCTATATATGCATTATCGAAGTCACTTATGCCTTTATACTTACTATTTGGATTGAATTCTGATATTTATTTGTATAGCAATAAAGATGATAAGTTTTTTCGCCACAATATTTACCACTATCCCAAAAACCCTCTATATAATTTCTTATGTTTTCTTTTTTATGGTTTTTATTACATAAAGGGCAAGGTACCAATCTATTAAAATCAAAGTAATTAGTTTTAAAACTATGTTTCAAAGTTAAATAAGGAAATCGCTCTAATATCATTTTAATAACATGTTTTTATTTCTCTTTCGGGTCTTTAGGTAGAATAGAAATTAGAAATTGTTATTTAGATGATATAGATAAATCATTTATCAGTGGTATAAGTAAAGTCTTTTTCTCAGAGTTTATTCAGGGATCAAGTTCAGTTTCTTTCTTATATCTTTTATATAACTTGAAATGAATATTATCTGTTAAAACTCCAATTAATTTAGCCTACCAATCTAAATATTCAGGAGTTAGACACAAAGTATTCTACTTTGTAGAGATTTTATCAGATTTGGTCTGCAAGTTTAAAGCACTCATGTTGTTATTTTATAAGATCACAAATCAATTTAAATTTCTATATTAAATATACAATATATGCTATTTTAGTAGTTCTGCTTCTTACATTAATCTTTATTACATAATAATAATAAGAATACACAAACAGATAAAATTTATACAATTAGTTTAGTGTGAGCTGATATAACAGTATCAATTTCAAATACTTCACATTTAATATAATAAGATTCATTTTTATATTCAGCTTCTATACCTTCTTCATCCTCATGAATTAACTTGCATATTAGACATAATGATTCAGCATTAATCCCATAATAATCAACACTTTCACTACTATATTCTTTATATAAATAAGAATATTACTTTAATAATTTGTTACAAAAATAATCACGAATATATGATAGATTATTTTGCTTTTTAGATAGGATCTTCTTGGATTGATATGTGAATAATATACTTATTTTTTTATTAGGCAAGCAAGAAATATTAGAAACAGATATTTGAGATGAAAATATAGATGCAGTTGAAATGATTTCTTTAGAATTATCTCTTATCTCAGATTTAATATGCGTGATCGAGATACTTATCTCAGCTCTTTGATTCTTTACTTGTACTTCTGATGCATTAGTTTGATTGATTTTTAAAGTCACTTGACTCTGATCATTCTCTTAAGAAATGATTTTCAAAATTACTTGATCTATAATATTTTGAATTTGTAAATTAGTTAGTTTTGAAATCTCACTTGCATTATATGAGACTAGTTTAATTTTATCTAACCCAACCCTATTTTTCTCAAATAATATGAGATATTTTCTAGTCCTAAGAGTTTTCTTATGCAAATTATCTTGTGAGACATTAGATAGAAATAATTTCATTTTCTTATAAATTATTGATCTTGCTGTTTTATCTTTGATCTTAGTATTAGCAGTAAGAGTATTATTGTGATATGAACTTTTAGTAGAATATTAGTTAATTTTATTATTAGTCACTTCATATCACAATATGATTGGATGAATAATTTTTTATATCTTATTGGATATTAACTTTAGAGAATATTATTTGTAAATATTTTTAGAAGGTTTTGCAAATATAATGATCATGACAAAATTATCATAGCAAAGTTAACAAAACTATCATAGCAAAACTAACAATGCTAATATAACAAAACCAATATTATAATACTAGCTAA